GTAGCAATCCGTCAGGTATATCAGATGACATTCTACCAAGCCAAAGATATTTTAGATTGGTTAACATGTTGAGACCTTGGGGTAGTTCTTTAATTGATGTCCCATAAAGGTTTAACTTTTTTAAGCCTCCAAGGTTGGATAAAAATGGTACCTCTTCTAAGGACTCACAATTCTCCAACAGTAGTGTCGTAAGGCTCTCTAATTTAGAAACAGAACTCGGCAGCCTATGTAGTTGGTGATTGCCAGAAAGATCAAGGATCTTCAGCCCAGGCATATGATCAAAAAAGGCTTCTGGAATTGTTGTAATATTGTTTTTGGACAACAACAAGGTTGTGAGCATTGGACACTTGGGAGACAACATACTTGAAGGAAATTCGCTTATTTGATTCTTCATTAGAGAAACCTTCAAAAGATTTTTTCTCCCTTCAACCTCCTCTGGTAGCTCTTCCAAGGCCATGCCAGCTTTCACCATGAATTGAGGATGAATAATCTTCAATGCCATTTCTCGGAGAAGATCATGCATACTCACCCAATCTTCTTTCTTTTTGATTTCACCCGCTGCATCCGGTCTCATCCGATATAATTGGTTTTTATTTTTAACCAATTCCAACATGCAATTGTCTATCAACTTCTGAATAATAGAATGGCCCTCACAAATCATTAAGTGCCGAGACCCCCTTTCATCTATTATAAATCCCTCCTCAATCCAAAACTCAATCAACTCCTCTTTTTCGATTTCATCATCCTCAGCATACAATGCACAGTATGAGAAACACTTCTGGTGTTGTTCATCTAAGTGGTTATAACTGAATTTCAAACAATCAACAATTTCTTCATACTTGCTCAATTCTGTAGCTGCAATCTCCCATGAGTAACAATTGAATTTTCCTCTCATGGTCGTTGCCACCACCCCAATAGCAAGGGGTACACCTTTACATTTCTTCAAAATCTGATTCAAAAAGGGTTCTATATCACTTTTGTATCTGGAATAGGACACCACCTCACTTCCAACTTTGTCCAAGAATAATGCTAATGCTGCATCATCTGGAAGAGGATTCACATAAATCTCCTTACACAACATTCCACCAGCAACCTCTTGTGACCGTGTTGTGAGCACCATCTTGCAAGCATCATTTCCATTTGGATCAAGGAATCCAACATCTTCTAGAGAAAAAGACTCCCACACATCATCCAGAATTAAAACATAACTGCCCTGTTGCAAGCTTTGTGATATCCATCCTGCAAGCTTAGTTGCATCTTCATCCTCATTCTTCAGGTTTAATCCCAAGTGTCCTGCAATGCTCTTCTGAAACTTGAGAATATCAAATTGCTTTTTTTGTTGGAGACCAATATCAAAGTCTCTGGATACCTTTACCCAAATAACTTTCTTAATTGTGGGTTCTTTTAATAGTTGGTTGTGGACTTGCTTCATGATTGTTGTCTTGCCCACACCACCCATTCCACAAACTGCAATTCTTGTAACCTTGTCTCCCCTTAATAGTTGCAGAATTTCTTCTTGTACCTCATCCCGTGCAATGCATTTTTCAGCAGGCATTGGAACTCCTTTTTTTGAGTGATCATTTATGACCAAACTCACACCAACATTAGTGAATTCTTTTCCTTTCTTAAGTAGTCGCTGCAATTCTTCAGTCCTTTCATCCAGCTTTCTTGATGAGGAAATAAATGTGCAACAGCGCCCTTTGTAATTCAGATCTTCAACCTTTACAGTAGTTTCTTTGCGTGCTTCCACAACCCAAGCATTGACATCATACCTTGCCTTCTTTCTAGGCTGCGACTGCAGTTGTGTCTCTAATTCTGCCTCAACGTCTTTTAGCTGGTCCTCTAGCCTTTTTCGCTTTGCTTCGAAGTTGCGTACATAATCCTCGTGACAGATCTGATACTTGACACAACTAATGACTGAATCCTTCACACAACTAATGACTGAGTCCATTTGCAAGTGCCTGCAGAAATATACATGAAATTGTTGGCAGGGTAAGAAAATGTATGTTTTGATGCATTAGATAGTAGAAACGTAATCACCATGGGAAAGGGGATCGTACAATTAGCAAGAGCAGCAAACAAATGAGGCTTAGTTTGCGAATGTTTCTTAGTGCTTTAAATTTTTTTACTATCTTAAAAATATATAAAATATAAAATATATTATTTATATTATATATTTTTGAAATATTAAAAAAATAAAAAAAATTTAAAACTACAACCATAACCTAGCACTCTTAAAGGGTACCTAACTTAGAAATTAATAATGAAACGAATAATTAATTTAAGTAGAGAAGCTCACCAATTTACTATGTTATATAAATAAAAAAAAGGTTAATTAAAATGATGTTAATATATATAATAAATAAAATTTAGCTTAAAATGACATTATTTTAATTATATTTAAATATTGTGTTGCAGAAGCCTGCATGCTTGAGATGTACAAATATTAGGCCTGGTCCTAATCCAAAAGGATGTTAAAAGCCTGCAAGCCCACCCAATTGACGAACCCGGCCCAAGTCCTCAGTCAAAAAACCTTAACGCCTGATTTTTCTTTTTTTATTAATCTATCGGTATACTACATTAAATTTTAATTAATCTAAAATTGAAGCGTATAAGAACATATTAAAAGTTGCTCCCAACCCCGCTTATCGTTCATAAGATTCAAACTCAAACTCTGTTATAAGACTCAAAACTCTATATCTTACCCATATCCTTCGACCGTAATGCCTGGTATTTTGAAAGAAAAACGGCCTCCCAAGAAAGGGGGTTGGGTAGCCAAAAAAATAAAAAATAAAAAACCCAAATCTTCTCTTAGTTCTCAGCCTCCCTTCATCCCCCGTCTTTCCATCTCACCGTCTTTGCTGACCATCATCATCATCACCATCACCATCACCAAAATGCCATTGAAGAGGGAAGGGATTCCCGCTTTTTCTGATTTTAAGAGGAACCGCGGCACACACAAAAACAAAAAGAACAGCCACACAGAAAAAATGGGATTTGAGATTCTTCTAGAACGGAGGGGCTTTCGGAGACGATGGTGAAGGAGATGGACGGAGCAGGTCCTGTGGGAGGGATCCCTCCCTTCTGATCCCGATCTGCTTTTCTCCAGAAAGTTCCGCCTTGGGTGTTTTTCGTCTTTGAAGTTTTTGTTTTAGTGGCTGGGTTCTGGAATCTTGAGTTTGAACTGCTGTTTTGTTGAGTTTTAGCTTGAAATTCATTTTTGCGAGAATAAAACCCTAATTTCCCTTTTCATTTTTTGTTTGGATTTGATCAGTTTTTACCCATTTCTACCATCTGGTTATGTTTTTGCAGTCTGGTTATCTTTCTTGGTCGGAGCAATCTGGCCCGTTCAAATAGTCAAATGGATTAATCACTAAAAGATACTAAAAAATACAAATAATTAATAATAATAAATTAATTATTATAATTAATATTATTAAAGTAAATTAATATTAATTGGTTTTAATTAAGATAATTAAATTTATCTAATCATTTTGATTAAATGATAATAAATGTGATTAATTAATTTTAATTAATATTAAATTACTATCTAATTAAATTATTTATTATAGTTAATTAATTGTAAATTCTTTATTTTCTTTAATTAAAGTTTTAATTAAAGTCAAAGTTTTAAAATTAAAATTGTCTTTTTATTATTTCAATTTCACGCAAAGGTTTTGTGATTGAGCAATTTAGTCCATTAGTTTTAAATTTGGACAACTAAGTCCCTAAACGTTTAATTTTGTTGCAATTGTGTATACATGTTCTTGATTTTGTTCAGTTCAATCCAAAAATTTTCAAATGTTACTTCTTTGTTCAACTACTTTTCATGTTTATTTAATAATTTAAAGAATAAATAAGTTGAATAAATCCCAATCTTAAAGTATGCAAATTATATTTACAATTTACATGAAGGATTGTGAGGTATGCCTACATTCTTCCTCACTCTTAACCAACTTAATAAAAATTAATATTTATTGTAATACTATTAATACATAAATAATTTTAATGGATTAATTAATTAATTCAAAGTCAATTTATATATTTTTTATATAAATTAATTAAAAAATATATTTATTTCACCTTTAACTTATGTAAAAAAACTCATTAATATATTA